ACAACAAAAGGTGCACAGTTTCTTTCTCCTTTGTGTTTTTAAAAGGTGTTTTATTGGCGTTTGAGACCTAGAAAGTGAATTCAGTTCAATTTTATTTATACAGCGCCAAATCACAACGACAGATGCTGAGAGAGAGCTTTAGTGACAGTGGGAAGGAAAAACTCCCTTTTAACAGGAAAAACCTCCGACACAACCAGGCTGAGGGAGGGGCGGCCCAATGAGGCAGGAGTCTGACAGACAGACATTAAAACTGAAGCTTTTTAAATACGCTTCACTCTATTTAACTCATACAGAGATGATAGTAATGGCTGAATCAAAACCATAAAAGTGACCAACTTCTATGGCAATTGTAAAAATGAGGACTTACAGCTTTCCTGTGCTGTCACAGTTCTGATTCTCATCTTTGTGTGAAGCAGAGCAGAGTGAGGCTGCACCCTCAGACCAAAGACAGCGACATTAACCAGTGACCCACAACAGGCTCTGGCACATGCAGCACACACTGCAAAAGGCTCCTGGATGCTTTTTCCTGCCACTGGCATACGTAATATTGCATTTTCCTGCCAAGACATGGAATGAACTGAAGTGGATGTGTGCTAAAGCTGTACAGCACTGTGCCAAAGTCTGAGCCAATCTGTTTACTTTTTGCTAAGAAAATGGGAAATAGGTTCAGAAATCTATTGAAACGTGTAAACATATGTAACTACAGGATATAAGGCAAAAAAAACTACACAGAGTTTATACAATAGGAATATTTCTGCAGGACATTCAAGCTTTTGGGTGATGGCTGCCTTTTGTGGATTTCTCTGTCAATATGACCCCACGCGGCTCTGAGGAGACCAGTCTATGTGTTTTTCTATCCAGGTGAGCTTTTACTGCACTGGGCGAGTGTTTGGGATCATTGTCATGCTGACAAATAGAGCTGCAGCCAAACAGATGCTTTCCAGCTGTTACTGCATCCAAATCTGACTGAGATCGCTACAGACACAAATTTGGATTCACGACTCCAGAAGACCCGTCGCCAACGATTTTTAGTCCAGTTTCTGTGCCATCTTCAGATTGTCTTCTTGACACCCACAGAGAAAATTCAGCAAACAGTAGATGTGTCAGATGCACGTCTCAGGTCCTGTGTTTGCTGGAGTTTGTCTGTTTCTAAAGGACAGCACTTTCTGTTCCTCTGCTGAAGACACGTTTTTAGTCCTGCACTTCATTTATTTTTAAGGACACACTGCACACCATGCTGAGATATGCCAAGTTTCCATACAAACCTCTTTGGGAATCCCCTTGTTGGTGGAAAAATACAGTTTTTCATGCCTGTCAAAATGTCTCATCTTTAGCATTGTTTCTAGACTCTGCTAAAGATCCATCCTTTATAAATAAAGATGCAAAATAAAATTAGCTCTTGCTAAGTTGTGTATTATATGCAGACAAAACACTGACCTATGAATCATTTGAACCATTAAAAACAACAAAAAGAAAACCAGTGTTAACTGGCTTAAAACACAAAAGCAGAAATTTGCTGAAAAAGGTCAGGTGCAAAGACCGGACAGAAAAAGCAGCTAATGTTCCAGGTGAGGACAGTAATCAATACAGTCTCCAATCAATCTCCAAAAGCTGTTAACAAAGAACTAAATATGTCCTTGAATTAGCTCCCAAACTCCATCCTGTGTAAGAGTCATCTTTCATTGAGCTGGAAACAAGACAGAGCAGCAGATGAGCAGGCTAAGGAGCGCTACAACAGAAAAGCTTTTAAAGACATTAAACGGCAGCCGAGGCTCGGGCCAATCCACTCAGACAGCACCTCGCTGCCCTCTCGCTTTCCAACTCTCCGGGGGAACAGATCTGCTGCAGCTAATGTTGTTCAGCTCTACTCACGAGCTAACACAGGAACTGTGTCACAAGTCCAATCTTTGTCCTAGTTAGTGATTCACATCTGGAGCTGTGATTTACTTTGCCAAGGAGGTGTGAGCACATTATTCATCCACCTGACAGGAACCTATTTTGTTAATACTCCACCAA